GGCTTATTAAGTTTCAATATTTAAGTATTTATTTATTCTGAAAAATTTTCAGAATAATATTTTAAGATTTTTTAAAAATGTATACAGGGTGTTTTGAAAAATCTGGTCATTGATTAATCACGATCCTGCTTAAAGCCCTTGACGTAAAAAGCTGATTTTTGGAAAACGGATTGACTTTAGGGTGTAGAGGTGCGATAAGAAGGGATTTTTCGAAACTCAAATTCTAAGGGGGTGAAACCACCCTCAAATATTAGAATATTTTTTATTTAAAAACTGGTGAGTTTTTCGAAAAAACTCTTAAACACGTATATTTTATTTTGTTGTTTTACATATTTTGAGATTTTTACAAAATATATACAGGGTGTTTCATAAAATATGACCACTGAGTAATCACTATTCTGCTTAAACTGCTTGACGTTTAAAGCTGATTTTTGGTAAACGGATTGACTGTGGGGTGTAGAGGTGCGATAAGGAGGGGTTTCTCGAATCTCAAATTCCAAGAGGGTGAAAACGCCCCTCAAATATTACAATATTTATTATTTAAAAAACGGTTAGTCTTTCGGGAAAACGATTGGACACGCATAATTTATTTTGTTTTTTTACATATTTTGAAATTTTTTAAAAAATAATACAGGGTGTTCCAAAAAGTTGAGTAATTGATTAACCACGATTCTGCTTAAACTGCTCGACGTTTAAAGCATATTTTTGGCAAATGTGAGAAAATTTTATCCAGTTTGTATGTTAATGGAAATTCTTGCTTTGCTTTATCATCACCATTACAAATTAATAATTCGATGCGAACGAAGTCGCGGGTACAACTTAACAAGTATAGCTAGAGACGTGAGAAATATAAAATAAGAGACGCCCCCCGATGCGCAGTGGACATCCCACAAATTTGCTTCAATCAGATTTTTCGTAGCGTAACTGCATCTCTCTTCCGCCGAATGCGTTCTCTCTCTATCGTGTGCGCGACCGGTGCTATCCCCAAGTCTCTTCCTATATTTGTCAAACTGTACATGCTAGTTTAAGTGTAAAATTAATTCGAACTCTAGTGTGTAGTTGGTTTACTTATGAAGAATATACTACACATTTTCTTATATTGCTATTTTTTGACCGCAAATGGTAAAATCATAACGAAGAGCTTCTCGCCCGTCGAGTGAGATGCACCCTGTACACTGCTACGCAATTCAGAATCTACGCGGATCGAGGGGTAGGGCGTAGGTAGATCGGAATTTATAGATATAGACGAGTGGCGGCATTTTGGCTTTTTTATATCGCAATTTGTAAACAGCGCTTATTTGTAAACAACCCCCGTTTTTAGAGAGGTATTTTAGATAACAATCGATATTTAGAAATGTTATGACACCCTGGAAATACTACCACCGAGCACGTCATTGTTGCAACTGCGTTAATACGCCTGGCGGTGACCGCCTCATATTCTTTCAGATATTTAGCAATAAAATAAAGAAACCTGTTATTTTTAAGCTGTTATTTTAAGCTGTTTTTTATAAATAACTATAACAGTTTCAACTGTTATCTAAAAATAACAGTTTTGCCCATCACTAGAGAGAGTGCAATAAGAAGCTTGCCCTACTATAACAGTTGTCTCGCAATTATTAGATTTTTCTATAGCAGTTTGAATTATTAATAAATCGGCGTCATCCGCAGCAACAAATACTTCTATACCTTCTTTCCTAAATTTGTTTACTAGTTCTGTGATTAAGCGTTCGTTGTTAAACAAATTACTTAGGAACTTCTGCTGAGTTTCAGAGACAACAGTATTCTCGTCACACATAATTTGAGGACAGCTTCTTTGAAGTAGCCGCCTCTGTCGTTCTAGTCTCTTCGTGCTGTTTGCATTTTCCATATAACCATCGAACACGACAGTTACTCCATTCCCATAATGTTTTTTAATGTAACTAACGTAAGCGTTGTAAACAATGTTAAATGTCCCTTTTTTTGGTCATATTACGCTGCGAAGCAAATATCCTCCATCAATGACATACTCGCTGTTTTCAAAAATATGGCCTCGTTCTGGAACTTTATTGACAATCTGGTTTATACCAGATTGTCAATAAAGTTCCATTATTATTGGAACTAATTACTATTGGAATTAATTGGAACTTTATTGACAATCTGGTTTATACCAGATTGTCAATAAAGTTCCAATTAAATCAACTAATAAAGACAATCAAACTAATAAAGCAGCTTTATAGCTGCTTTATTAGTTATCCTCATTAAGCCTTTCGCATCGAAAAGAGAAAGAGGTACTGACGCTAATTCGAAACTAAAGCACTTTTTTAACTCCAGGCTAGAATGAACGGTGCAAATAATTCTTTGAAATAGTAATGTTGAGTCAACTTGAACATCATTGCCATTAATTTTCATTGTATCGCTCAAACTAGATATCGGCTTTACACGATTTGCACGACGCACTTTTAAAAAAAATCCCATCTTTAACATTTGATAATTAGTGGAGTAGGCCTATAGGGAATACCACTTTAAAAAAACGCATCAAATACTTTATCTCTAGGGTGATGTAGAAATATGTACAAATCACCCTTTTTATAGGGGTAGAGGAGTATGAGAGAAGAACGTATATTAAAACTCTAAGTATAATTTAGTGGTTACTGCTTTTTGTTAGCGTTAAGCATTAAACTTTAAATTAGATTGAACTGCAGATAGTGTTAGCCATAATCAACCCTTATTGCGCCCTAATTGCCACTTTATTATTAAGTTTAGAAAAAAAGTGTTATTATCTTTTTGATAGAGAATTTTATGAAGAACAATTTTCTATATATGTGTTTTTGTCGAGAATTGCACCGTTGCCGAGATTATCTAAAAAAACTCAAAATGGGGGTACAAACGATGTCCTGGGGGATGACGCACACTATTTAGGGGTGGGAACTTTTTAGTTTATTAATACATATGATGTCCTGATTATTTCCACCAATTTTGAAAACTTTATGAATTTTGTCGGATATATCGCAATTTGAACCATAATATTACTGAACTATTACTCTAGTTTTTGGTAAATTCATTTTGAGATCCACTTTATTGCTGGCTGTATTTAGTTTGTTAATTTGTGCTTGTAGTTCTTCAGGCTATTGGCAATTAGGACTATTTCATCAGCGAATCTTAGATGGTTAAGATATTCTCTACCTATTTTTAATCATTTGTTGGTCCAGTCTAGTTGACGGAAGATTTCTTCTAGTGTTGTTGTAAACAGCTTTGGGGATATCGCATCTTCTATCGTATTCCTTTGCTTGTTGGGAATTCTGGGGTTGTTTTATATATTATTATATATACTCTTGCTTTGGCTTCTTTGTATATATTGACGAGAGTTTCTTTTATTGTATTTCTAGTTATATACTATGTTCATTGTAATTGTTAATTTTCTACTAAACTTAATGAATTTCTGCGTTTATTTACGTCATGGATATTAATAATATTAGTCTTTATTGGTAATGATTTTAGTGCTTTTGTAGTGGGCAGTTGCATTAATTATGTTGTTTTCAGTATTACAGATAAATTATTTATTTATTATTATAAATATAGTATACAGGGTGGTCCGAACTGTATTCCGGAAACTTCGGCAGCATATTCTGCAGATAAAAATAAGTAAAAAAGTTCGTATAAATGTATATCCTAAAATGCTTAGTTTCGGAGATACAGGGTGTTGAAGTTTCATTTTTATTTCGATTTTTTCCAAATAATTTCTGTATATATAAGTATGTAACATCATTATTTGGATGCAATTAATTGGTGTCTGGGAGTTTTTTGACATGAGACATTTGATTTTGATGTCAATATGACTCCTATTTGTAGGGAGCGCCACCTACATGTGTTTTAACTGATTTGAAGAGTAATAACTTTTCGTCCATACCTGTATAAAACTACTGAGTAAAAAAATATACTTTTCCGTGACTTTTTACGTAAAAAATTGTCTCTTGGTAAAAATCGCTACGAGCAACCGTTCTCAAGATATTTAGAATGAAGATAGTCAATACATGTCATTGTTGAAAAAAAAATAAGCATTTTAAGTAGATAGTTATTTGACTGAAATGATAAATTTGGGAAATTTTTATTTTTTTAAATTAATCATATTTTTTTCTGCAAAAAATGATGATAAAACAGTTTCTCTTGAACTTTTGGCACAAAAACATTTCAAATTTATGATTTCAGTCTTATAACTATTTAGGTGACATGTTTAATTTATGTCAATGATGATAGGTATTGATAATTTCGATTCTAAATATCTCGGGAACTATTACTCGTAGCGATTTTTACCCAGAGACCTAATTTACGTAAAGAAACTCCTAAATGCATATTTTTTTACTTAGAAGTTTTATACAAGTACGAACGAAAGGATATTACTCTTCAAACCAGTTAAAATATGGGTAGGTGGCGCCCATTACAAGTAGGAGTCATATCGACATCAAAATCAAATTTTTCATGTCAAAAAACCCCCAGACACCAATTTTCATCCAAATATTGACGTCACTTTAGAAATTATTTTGAAAAAATCAAAATAAAAATGAAACTTCTACACCCTGTATCTCCGAAACTAAGCATTTTAGGTCATATATTTATACGAACTTTTTTACTTACTCTTATCTGCAGAATATGTCACCGAAGTTTCCGGAATACAGTTCTGACCACCCTGTATATAAAAAAAATATATATACAGATTGTTAACTGGACAGTTACTTATAGGGGAACAGAATGGCAACACTGCTTATTGAGAACGCATGCACTTATAGGGTTTTCCGCCGACTCGTCCCGTCGCGTCGTCTATCGACGAGCGGGCTGAGGTTGCCATATTTCAACCATAAAGCTCTTACCGCGAATAATAAACAAATTAACAACCTGTATGTAAAAAATAGCTTAATACATATATCATATTAAATCACCAGTTAAAATAAACGCACTCAATAAATTATCAGGTGCAGATAATTTTAACTAATTTCGTTTAGAAACATTGTATAATATTTTTTAAGGATGGTCGTTGCCGAAATTATCAACCTGGTTGGATGAACATCCTAATGAAACGGAACGGCTGGATTTAGTGGCAGGAGCACTTCAGAAATATGAAAGTATGGTAAGGCAAAAAAATTCTACAAACTATGATCCAGTATATCCGTTAATGTCAAACTTTCTTGAAATGGCAGTTAAGGAGATTAAACATTGATTAAACATTTTTGAGACATCATTGTAGTTTACTTTTTTAGGACTATCGTGATTAAAATAGGTACTTGAAAACTAAAATGTTTCATTAAATATTGACTAGGTGAAAAAATCTATGGAATACCTATATCTATGGATATTGTATAGTTTTTGAAAAGTCACTTAATTTCTCCACTACCTGTCGGCCCCTTTGTCGGCATCGTCTGTACAAAAGTAGTCTGTCCAACGACAAAATCTTTGACAGTGATAGATGTGTCTGTAATTTTAATTTAAAAGTAGTTTATTTTATTTTACAAAGAAATAAGTTGGTACAATTGGAACGCATAGCAGAAAATTAATATATTTAAAATTTGAGTGACAAGTAATTACTTCAAAATATTGTAAAAAAAATTGTTTATGTATACTCTGTTTTTTTTTCTCAGGTAAGATTTCGACAGACGATGACAGAAAAAAAGCAGATGACTTTCATACCAATCCATTTATTTCAATAAAAAAAGTTTCTAATATTTTTTAAGTTAACTATGGATGGGTTTATAAATAAATACGTCATTCGTCGTCTCTTGTTGTTTTTAACCAGTTTTATTGGTTTATTTCAAAAACGACAGATCATATTTCAATATTATTGGTTTGATGCAACGATAAACGACAAACGGACTCCGATGCGTATGAACCCGACTTAAGATTTTTGAGAGTTGTCAAACTCTTGCCAAATTATAGGTGTGTTAAATTATGTCAAATAGAAATTATAAATATTTTGCATTTTGCATTTTGGACTGTGGTGTTACTTGTGTTTCGTGTTTTTTAAATTTAAGTGGAGGAAAACTCGAGGGAAAATTAAGTGTTGACCCAGACCATAGTTTACAGTTAATATTCGGTGCCGAGAGACCGCCAGAAACACAGTTTGCCAGAGACTATGGCCAGAGAGTTGTATTAGCTACAAATAAAGTTGCATACCATCTCATATATGGTAGCAAAAACTGGAGTATCTGTAAAATAACATCATACTGTTAAGGTCAAGGTGTATTACTGGTTGCATAACCTGGCGAATTCGCCAGAAAGTAAAAGAAAATTACAGAATTCTTTAGAAAATTCCAGAAACCATCGCCAGGGGGTATATAAGGCCCGCGCTTTGACAGTTGGACCAGTTTGAAGATATGGTGGGTTCATACAGCCAAATAAAATAAAATAAAATAAAATAAGAAAGTTGGTTATATGGGATACCGTACATGCGTTCATACAGCCAAATAAAATAACAAATAAAATAAGAAGTCTTTATCTTTTAACTTCTTGTTTTATTTTATGTGAAAACGGCTTTGCGCACGCTTAATTCTAACCTACAAATATTTTCAGTTTGGATTTAATTTATTTTATAATTTCACATAAGTAAAATGTATAATATAGTAGACAACAAATAAATAAATATACTATAAATAGTAAAATTACTATAAACAATCGTAAAAGTTAACTTTTATCCAGCCTCATCGTACTGCGCATGAGCAAATATATATTTCTTATTTTATTTTATTTGACTGTATGAACGCACACAAATAAGAATTCCTTATTTCTTATTTTATTTTATTCTTATTTTATTTTATTTGGCTGTATGAACCCACCAATAGTCTGAAGTCTGAAGTTTGAACGTGGTTTGAATATACCGCACTTTAAATAGTGAAATACCGTTAGAGTAATAGTAGTTGCATAAATTGTGTTGTAAATAGTATGTTGTGTGTACAGAGTGAGACAAATAAATTCGTTAAGTATTTTATCGTGAGTTTAAATAGTGGACTCACGGAATCCGTAACAATACGATAGGTAAATAATACATTTTAGTACTGCAGAAAAAATTAAGATTTAAGTTAATTAACCAAGATTATATTTCTCATTTTTATACAGGTTTTTTTTCACAATATTTTGAAGTAATCACTTGTCACTCAAAATTTAAATATATTAATTATGCGTTCCAATTGTACCAACTTATTTCTTTGTAAAATAAAATAAAATACTTTGAAATTAAAATGACAGACACAACTATCACTGTCAAGGATTTTGTCGTTGGACAGACTATAAAACCGAAATAATCTAATCGAGTTATTTTATTAAAAAAAATTACGGGATATGTTAGTACAAAACAAACAAGTTAAACAAAACTCCATATACCAAAATAAAAATAAAAAATGTTTGTACTAATAAACCCATCCATAGTTAAACTTTTTTTGTGAAATAAATGGATTGGTATGGACGTCATCTGCTTTCTTTCTGTCATCGTCTGTCGAAATCTTACCTGAGAAAGGAAACTGAGTATATTAAGAGCCTCAGTACTTCCAATTGACTTCGGAAATACTATATATTTTTCTCTTACAACTTACAAATGTTAATTTAGTGACGATGATAGAAAAGTGAACCACTTGAATGAATTAAGTTTGTATTGTTTATTATAAAAATATATACATAATACAATAAGATTCCCAGTATTATTTATACAATTTCCATTTTCTGATAAGGTGATAAATAGAAACAAATATCAAACCACAAACTGAGTGAACCAGAAACTGAACAATTTAAATGATTTTAAATGTAATGTATATAAATCATTTAAATACAAAATAGTCTGTACAGGGTGAGCCTTAAATAAGTGCAAATATTTTCAGGGTTGCTAGATCTCGATAAAAGAAATATTTTTTCTTTATCGTTTTTCAGATAAATCCAAAATAACCGAGTTATCATAGGTACTTTGAAAATTTCCAAAAAATGATTTTATGCCAAAATTTTGAGAACCATAGATCTTTTCTGGATGTTCTTTCTTGTAAATTAGACCTATGTTGCCATATTATCAAGATATTATGTTTTTTTAACTAAAAACTAAAAAAAAAATCAAATTTTCCAAAAATTCCTAATTTTTTTAATTTTTTTTCGCGAAAAGCCTCATAATCCTGTTTCTGGGGTCGAAATATAGTACCTCTAAAAATATTTGCGCTTATTCAAGACTGACCCTGAACAGTTGGCCCAGAAAAACAAGACACACATCTGGTCTACAATTAAACGTTTGGCAGAGGCTATATTCATATACTTATCCTTTTCGACCAGGTTTGAAGTGTTTGGCAAACCCACGCTAGACCTATCAGACCTAGGAGACATATCACCTTCGGACATAATGGCCTATGTTAAAAGGGCTGGGTCTTGAGGGTGAACTTTAATGCTCTTTTTCTATTAAAGGGCTTGTAGAAACTGAGCCACAATAGGCCCTCGCGGCCCAAGTGGGACCCACTCTTTGTCAATACGATGCAAATATCCTTTTTCAGGTTTTGAGAACGCCATTGGCGTAGTTTCAGAATATTCCTAAGGACAATAAATAGTGTTCAAATTTCTCTGTTTACGTCAAGAAATTACATATGTAGATGTTAAATAACGTCTACAGAAAAAATAAACAGAAGAGCAAGTGTGACAGATTCTGTTTTTATTTTTGTTATAAATTCAGCTAAATCATACATTTTATACATTCCCTCACTCAGGTTTTTGTCTTAGCCTACGGCCACACTTCTGCGTAACTTAAATATTCTGCTCTAAAACTAAAATTAGTTTCAGAATATTCATAAGAACAACAAATAGTGTCCAAATTTCACTGTTTACTTCAAAATAATTTAGAAATTACATATGTAGATGTTAAATAACGTCTACAGAAAAAAATAAACAGAAGAGCAAGTGTGACAGAGTCTGTTTTTATTTTTGTTATAAATTCAGCTAAATCATACATTTTATACGTCCCATCACTCAGGTTTTTGACTTAGGCCACGGCCACACAGAAAGCGAGTAAAGCGATTTTGCCTGTAAAGCATCTGAATAGTCTTTTTCGTATATTAAGAAGCGCAAAACGCTTCACGCTTTTGGTCGGACCACTCTTTTGGCAATCTCTTCTTTGATTTTAAAGAACATAACATAAATAAACATAACATACGTAAAATATAAAAATAATCATACAGAAAGTTTGGGCTTTTTGGTTTGGGGGTACTTAAACTGCCGATAGACGGTAGCTTACTAAAATGCTGTTAATAGGTATGACGTCGTTGATGTGACGCACTTGACGGCTTTATGAAATATAGGAATTTTATAAGGACTAACCAACGCTATCCACCCCACCAAATAACTAACTTAACTAACGCAACTAACCTCGACACTGATAAAATAATTTAAAAACAAATATAAATTAGTAAAAACCAACCAACCCCACCAAATAACCAACTAACCAATGAATTAACACCCTCCAAATAACCACGCTAACCAACCCGCCAAATAACTAAACCAATCCAACCAAAAAGAGTGAAACCAATGCAATAAGATCACGCTATAAGCAAAAAAAAATATAAAAAAGTCTTGGTCGGCGTGAGATTTGAACTCCGGACCATTCGCTCACGAAGCGATAGCCTCAGCCACGGAGCCACAGGTGCTCTTGCAAAATGCTTATGGCTAGGCATTACTTTCCGCCGACATGAACGACGATGGGACCTTTCCACCACAGTTCTAAATCACGTAAGTATGAAGCGGAAACTCCACGGGATAGACAATCTGCAGGATTATTTTCCGACTGAACGTGATACCAGGTTTTAGGATCAGACAAATTTTGAATTTGTGTGACTCTGTTAGCCACGAATGTTTTCCAACGACTAGGACAACCCTGAATCCAACATAAAGTTATGGCTGAGTCTGTCCAATAGAAATATTTATCGATAGGAATATTTGTCGATTGTTTAATCTTCTCTACTAATTTGGCAGTTACATAGGCCACGCAAAGTTCTAAACGCGGTACAGTTATCCTCTTTAGAGGAGCTACCCGAGCTGAAAACCAGCGGTACTGAGAATAAACACGATGTCCTGTTGCAGTTGTAGTAATTTTGCTTCTCAAAATTCACCAGCCAGCAAATCATCCAGATAGAAACAATTCAAAATAGTTTTACTTGCTTGGGGGTATTTATCCTTGTACTCTAAACCTAATTGGTGCAATGCTCGAACTGCTAAAAATGGAGAAGATGCA